AAGACTCGCGTCGCGAATGAGTGATGTACGCCCAAAACGAGGTCGCCATAGTATAGCCGTTCCTCCTTGGCGTATTCTACATATTACACCAGGCGGTGGTGGAGTCGAGCAAGCCACTGACCAACCCGCTCTCTTAGCCTCGGCGATGACCCACCTCGGTTTCTCTATTTTCTGTTTGATCTCCTGCAGGGCAATGGTATCGACCTCATCGTCCTGGATGGCGCACTTCAAGACCTCCTGGAGTCTCGCTTTGTTCAGGCTCGTGACGTTGAGCGTGAGAACTTTGGCACGTGTTGCGATCAACTGGTCGTCGTGGTCCTCCTCCCCATCTACAGCTTCGTCTCCACCTCCGATGAGCGGATCCTCTCCAATTGTGAAATTTGCTACAGGAACTTGCTTAGCGAAACGTTCGACAGAAATTGCATCAGCACTTGTAGTAAAACATTCGACAGAAACTGCATCAGTACTTGTTATCATACTTCGAGGCATCGAGCCCGAGGTGTTCCCTTGCGTGGGGGCTTCTTCGGGACTCGTGGAACTTCGAGGAGATGAGCCCGAGGTGTTCCCTCGCGTGGGGGCTTCCTCGGGACTCAGTCCAGCAGCCAGAGGTGTTCCCTCGCGTGGGGGCTTCCTCTGGCGGCGTTCTGATCATAAATCTTCCCACAGGAATTGCTTTGAATTGTTTACTGGTATGGGCCAGCCGCTTTTTTCCCAAGTCCTCCAGATAGTCACTCCACGGCCTCCGCCGCAGCGGGAAATTCAGGACCACCACAACCAGGTAGGGGTACAGGTACAGGTACTTGTGCTGCTGGACGCCGGCGTACATACATGCGTACAGCAGTAGCTAAATGTTTCCTCAACGCCATGGGGATGATTGTTCGAGACTTACATTCCTTTGCCAGCTGCTCTGCCTTGCCCGCGGCCCGCTGCTCTTTGAACTTCTGGAGCATAGGGTTCCCTTCCACAAGATGGAGCAGATCGCGAGGGCAGTCATTCGCGATGTCCCCATCCTGCAAATCCAACGTCGTATCTTTGCCAGGTCACACTGTTTACCACACCGCGTGCACGTGTACATTGTAGACGACTGGCGCTTGATGAGTACAGACGTCTCGTTGCCCCCCAGCACATGACACATTGCACTCCGAATACCTAGAGACTGTTCGCCAACCACCGTTGGTGAACCTGCCAAGCTCGAATTCAACCAACTCGGATCTTGGCCGACATAG